ACACACACACACACACACGCAGACAAAACCCCGAAAAACGACGTCTCCACTCTCCTCCTCTCTTCTCTGTGCGCCCCCTCGTCCTTGTACAAGCGGCGTTGCCGGGTTGGCTCCGCGAGGAAAGCCGGCTTTAAAATTATAATGGTACGCGCAATTTTGATAACCGTCCTACCCCTTCCACACCCTCTTTGATATTTCACTCCTGGTGGTTGTGCAACGGTTCTCTCCTATTTCCCAACGCCATTTCCTCGTACTCTCTTTTCTCTTCAAAAAATATCTCCCCCCGCAGGGTTTCATGAGGGCGCGGTGGGTGGACGGGAGGGGGTGGGGGGCGGGGGGTCGGAGGGATGTATTCGCTCTCTTGCATAGAGTTGCCTCTTTTCGCCCTCATCATGGGCACTGGTGCACGTCCCGTGCAACCGAGCGACCCTTTCCGGCGGAGTACAGAAGTCACGCTCACCGAGAATTACGTGACGTCGGTATGTGCTTCAACCCCCCACCCCCCTTGCCACCTTTTTCGTTCGAAAAAGTCCGAAAAATGAGAGGAAGGGGGAGGGGGATTGTAAAGGGTGTGGTGAACATTTTTTGGGGAATTTTTTGTGGACTTTTTGTAGATTTTTTCAAACCTTAAGTAGTCGCATCACGGGGGGTCCACTGTCACAATGAATTATTCTGATGCTAAAAATTAATTTTTTTCAAGTAGCACAAGCGCATTTCTTCACCCAGAAATGCCTAGAACGGAGTTCACTCGACGATAACTCAACTTTTCAATATAAAAAAATTAAAATTTGGGAAGTGAATAATTTGTGAGTTGAAAAAATTTAGAAATACTTTTTTTTTTCTCATGATCAACAATTAGGCAATTTAGATATGTTTTGACATAAAGATAAACTTCACACATGAAGAATTTGAAAATACTGGGGATTTTTTTTTCAGCGACTACTTAACGTGACTCATTGACCAATTAGAATTGAGGATTAGCGGTCACGCAGTTTCGAGGTTTTCGGTATAAAACAACTTAACGTTTTTTTCATCTTTAGTAAATAGGAATTGCTGAGAGCTAAAACCTTTTATCCGATTGTTAGGAAAAATTATCTCAAACTAAGTGAAATATACTAAACTAAGTTAAATCCAGGACTTTTGTTCTCCGAAGTCCAGAGTTTTCCGCTAAAAACTAGAAACTTTTTCGTCTTTGAGAATTTTTCTGCAATTCTGTCATTTTTCCTCAACTTTTTTTTCTCCGTGTGGAGAAGGAAATGAGAGAAGCACAAAGGTTTGGAGGTTAAATGGCGGCCGGACGTAACTTGGAGATACTAACGTTGATGCAGTCATGTGCGAATACATCTCAACCACTGGGATGTCGGCGTTTTTCTAGGCTGGGGGGAGGGGGCTTTTCTGTGAGAGAGGTGAACAATGGGGGTTGCGCTTGGTACAAGCTTTGTGGAGGAAAATTGTTTCGTGCCTTTGTATATTTTGCGGCTTCTAAATCTCAGACGTCATCGCTTCTGGTGGAAGGTCTTGATTTATGAATGTTTTGAATATTTTGAACGGTTAAAATATTAAATCTCGAGATATTAACGCTTTCTTTGGGCTCGAAAGGGCATCATTTCATAAATTTTGAAAAGAAATTCTCTGTTGAAGGTTTGTTCGACATTCATTTTTAAAAACCCGTTGATTTTTGTCGTCGCCCGCATGAGGGCGATTTGAGACTTCGATGAGGGAGAGATATTGGAAAATGATAAAGAGAATGAAAAATTTTTTCCATCACCAAAGATTCAATTATTAATCTCTAATTATTATTTTTTAGTCCTTCGTATAAAAATGAAAAATGCATTAATTTTATGATAAAATTTGTTAGTGAGTCAAAATTATTGTTTGAATTATCCAAAAAAAAACCTTGACAACACTTAATGAAAATTTTTTCATTAACTTAATTAACAAATTTGAATATTCGGAAAGTTTAAAATATCGTGAATATTTTCGATTTCTTTGGCTTGATTATTTGTCAAATTGTGGAGACAAATTCTCTGCTGAAGGTTCGTTCGACATTTATTTTAAAAAACGCATTGATTTTTGTCATCGCCCGCATGAGAGCGTTTTGAGACTTCGTTGAGGGAGAGAAACTGATAAATGACAAAGAGAATAAACAATCTTTTCCATCAACAGAAATCCAATTATTATTCTCTAATTATTTTCTTTTTCTAGTGTTGCCTTTAACAATAAAGTATTCATTAATTTTATTATAAAATTCGTCAATGATTCAAAATTATTCTTCGAATTTAAAAAAAACCTTGACAACACTGAAACCAAATTTCCTCATTAACTTGATTAATAATTTTGAATATTCAGAAAGTTTAAAATATGAAATCTCGTAATATTTCCACTTTCTTTGACCTTAAAAGCTTCATCATTTCTCAAATTTTTCAAAGAAAATTTTTTGCTAAAACTGATTTGCACTCATTAAAAAAAATTGATCTTCACCAACGAATTATCAATGAATAATAAAGAGAATACGAACATTTTATCCACTAGCACAAATGCAATAATATCCCGATTTCTTTCTTCATCCAAGATTATTTCCGACAATTTCAATTTTTTTGAACATTCGCTGTCTGACCAAACGAAAATTTTCTACTTGAAATAATACCTCACTCCGCAGTTTCATAAATTTCCTCTGAAAATAAAATAATGAATAATGCACGGAGATTCATTTCACATTTTAATATTTATTTCCTATTTCAAAATTCGAAATTGAAGTTACGTTTACACTACTTTAATTTCTTTCCAAAATAAAAGAATAAATGACGGAGCATTAAGAATGAGATTGCCTCCCGCAATGTTCGTTCACGAGCTCCACCTGCGTCCCCAACCAATATCCGAAAAAAGCCCTTGACAACACCTAATTAGAATTTCCTCATCAACCTTAATATTTACCCAAATCTCCCCCCCTCCCAATTAATAATTCACCACTTTCGTTGAATCGTTCCACCCAGGTGGCGAATTCTCCCCCAATTTAACCCCCCCCCCCCCATTTTTATATTTCAAATGGCTATCGGTTAATGCAACCAGAGAGGAGTGAGTCGCAGAGGCACATAGCGACGCAGATATTATACATTTTATTCAGGGCAAATGAGGAGCCAACGAAAAGTCCCTCGGCACAGTGAGGATTCGAAATTACGGCGCACAGATATGAATGCGAATATTCATGCAACGGGGCGCGGCCGTTTATGCCGTACATTGAATATTTATAGCCGTGTGCAACTCTCGTCGTTCCTCCCGGCATTATATACGTGATACACATATATGTACATTTAAGGATTTTACCTGAATATATTTATGGGGAATTAAAATCTCTTCCGCCGTCTCTTCCATGCAGATGAATGAAAACATCGAAGGAGAAAATTTATCTGGAACGTAAAGAGTGGAATTCGGGTGAATGATTAAGGATATCCAAGTGTTTTTTACAGTTTAGTACGGATTACACTATAGATTCAACCACTTTCAATCATCAAATTAGTCAGTCAAATTGCGTGAGAAAAATTTGAAAAAACTCGTGACTATTCGGCGCCATTAAAATTACATCTTGAATAGAATTATGAGTTTTTTAAACATTCGTTGTTTATAAATACAGTAGGGGGCTACCCCTGCTCGCTCCACTCGCCAACTCCATATGACCCTTACTCTGACCCTTATTTTAACCATGACCCTTACTTAGACTTTTATTGAGACATTTCACCCCCATAACCTTTATTCTGATCTTTATTTTTTCCATGACCCTTAGTCAGACCCTTATTTTAACCATGACTCTTATTTAGACCCTTGTAATCCTTAATCTGACCCTTGTTTTGACCCTCATGGCCCTTATTTAAACCCTTATTCTAACCCTTCTTTGACCCACATGATCCTTATTTAAACCCTTGTTTTGACCTTCATGACCCTTATTTTGACCCACATGCTCCTCATTCTTGTAACCCTTCATCTGACCCTTGTGACCCTCAATTTGACCCTCGTAAATCTTATTCTGATCCTCATTATAACCCTCATGACCCTTATTTTGACAAGCATGATTATTTCGTACCAGCCCGGGTTGTATCAAGCGCTCTCAAGTGTAATATAAGGGTCAGACACTGAGTGTGAGAATATAAGGGTCAAAAAGTGTAGGTTAAAAAATGAGGGTCGGAATATCAGAGTAAAAAGCTGAGGGCCTGAATGTAAAGGTGAAGGAATGAGGGTCAGAATGTTAGGGTTAAAAAAAGAGGGTCAGAATATTAGGATAAAAAAATTAGGGTCAGAATATAAAAGTAAAAAAAGTGGGTGTCAGGCGATGAGGGTCATGTAAGGGCTAAAAACGGTGATCAAGCATAATATATGACTTATATTGAGACCCTCATTGCCTGACACCCACTTTTTTTACTTTTATATTCTGACCCTAACGTTTTGACCCTAATATTCTGAACCTCATTTTTTAACCTCCACTTTTTGACCCTTATATTCTGACCCTTAGTGCCTGACCCTTATATAACACTTACGAGGGCTTGCCACTACCCGGCCTGATACAAAAGAATCATCTTCGAATTGAAATACCCATCCCCCAATTATGTACAAAATATACTTGAATCAGGTATATTTTTTTCTGTGATGATTCACCTATCGCCTCGCGCGTTTATCTCTCACCTTCAGGTGGTAAAAAAGAAAGCGGGGGGTGTTAAAATAAATCCCAAAACATCAAAAAAGTCCACCACAGCGGTGCGAGATATTCACAGGGGAGGCGATCGGACGGGGTTTGATAGCGCGAAAGGCATGGAATATGCCGTACACGGGGGGTAAAAAACGGGGTAGGAGGGATAAAAAGAGGGACCATGTGCAGTTTACCTATAACCCATAAATCGACCCCACTTTTCTATTAAGAGACGCACGATTGACTTGCGTTGTTCGGTCTTCCTTCCCTCCCCGATCGGCATTTTTTTACTCCATCCTTTTTTTTACTCCTCATCCTCTCTCTTTTATTTTTCTCCCGCTGCTGCACCCCACCACCTATTTTTCCTCAATTTTTTTTTTGCGCCGTGTCTCCCCGGCGGGTGTTCTCTCGCGCCACTTTTCTCTTTCGATTTNCCCCGCCGCCGGTACCCAACATGTCGGACGGCCCTCGGGATAGCGCGGATAGAAAAAAAAATGATGAAAAAGTGGAGAGAAAGAACTCAGGGATTCGTGCGCACACGCCAGGAGGCCCTCTCTCGGCGTACCCAGTGTCGGGGTGGACTTTTTTCTCTGTTATTTTTCGTGGAAAGTGCGAAAAACATGGGGATGCAGGAGCGTATCGCCAATTCACCAGATCCCGGGTGGAATTTTTCTAGGGGGTTGTTATGACTTTTTTAACGATTGACAGTATTTATTCAGGGGGTCGTTATCACGCGATTGAGTTTCACTGTTAATACTTCTTTTTTGACGTTAAACAATATTTTCCGGCAAATTTTCAACGGTTTTTGTACTGTAACTGATGAAAATTGCATCATTCAGCATTTTTTCATTAATGAAATTCAATTTTCCGGCGGCAGGATGCACATCTGAAGTTTTAATTTCAATTATTAATTATCCATGGGATATAATTAGATGATTAAGTGATAATTTTCAACTATAGACAAAATAATTTACATACTGTATATTTTCAGAACTAAAATGATTTCAGACAAAGATGAATTTTCTCTCGTCAATTTCTAGAATCGTGAAATCTCCTGGTAAATAATTTTGCGCTTACACTGAGAGAAAGAATTCTTTCCACAGGATGAGATTGAAAATTTTCGAGTGTTGACAAGTCTTCCCATAAATATATTGCAGGAGCGTATCGCTAATTCGCCATCTCGCGCTTGGAATTTTGTCAGGGAATTATTATGACGTCTTTTAATAGTTGAGAATATTAATTCAGAGGGTCGTTATCACATGGTAAAGTTTCAGGCTTTAAATAAAATTCTCAACTAAAATTTCCAATAATTTTCATTCCAACTGACGAAAGTTCCGCTCAATAAAATTCAATTTTCCAGCTTCAAACAACGCGTCTAAAATTTTAATTTCAATTACCCCACGTAATATAATTAAACAATATATATATATTAAACATACCCGGCGCATTATACATACCCCAAGTGCATGGCTGAGTTTACATTATAGGAGAGACGCCCGGGGCCTCATGTCGGGATATATATTTGTTATTTTTCGTGAAAAGTCCAAAAAACACTGGAATGTTGGGACGTATCGTAAATTCCCCAGCTCCCGGTTGTAATTTTTCTAAGAGATTATTATGACGTATTTTAATAGTTGACAATATCAATTAAGGGGGTCGTTATCACATGATAAAGTTTCGGGCTCTAAATAAAACTCTCAACAATTTCCAATAATTCTCATTCTATAACTGATGAAAGTGACCATTTTTCCACTAACAAAATTAAATTTTCCAGCTCCAAACAACGCATCTAAAATTTTAATTTCAATTACCCCACGTAATATAATTAAACAATAATTTCCAGCGTTAATGAAAATAATTTACCGAGGTATGCTGGATGAAAATACAGAAGAGCGAAAAGTACGTACTTGAGCAATACCCAGAACCCATTCATTTGCCCTCCGGTACAACTTCCAGCATATAACGCACCCCTAAAACCCCACATACTCCGAACTATCCGGCGCATTATACATACCCCAAGTGCATGGCTGAGTTTACGTTATAGGAGAGACGCCCGGGGCCTCATGGAGCGAGAGACCCTCTTAAAATACACCCCTGGGAATGAGGGTGTGCGCGAAAAGGGGGCTGCGAAATGAGGTAAAAAAAAAAATTTATATAGAGGAAATAAAACGTCTCGCACGGGCGACGACTCTCCGCTGAGGATGTACGCTCGCTCATGCCGGTGGGCGGATGGGGGGGGGTGAGGGTGGCGAGGGGTAAAGGGGGTAGCGCAACTACACGGGCAGGTGGAACGGGTCGACGCAGATGAGAGGGGTAGAAAGTTGAGTTGAAAAAGAAGAGGAAAAAAAAACGCGCCCAGCAACGACGCGGAGAAAAAGACGCAGGTCCGTCCGATGGATGAGAGGCTGCCGCCCCCACTCACCCCCCCCCCCCCCCCCCCCCCC